CAAAACGCATTTTCCCATTGAGATAAATGGAAACCGCCTGAAAAGCGCCTCAGAAACACCTTAAAAATGCCTCTAAGAGCGTTTTTGGTACAGGTATTAAGTCACGTGTCCTTTAAAAATGCTCAGAAAGCACGGTAAAAACGCCTATGCGTTTTTGCTGTGTTTTTGCAGCGGATCAGTGTGAAAGTAGCCTTAGAGCACATTCACTATATAAAGCAAAACACCTTCTAATATTATATTTATGAATATGGGAATAAGTGCAGTTGGTCCCAGGCTCATGCCTTCAGATCTCAGAGAGTACAGACGTACATAGCCGCCATTTCCTTGCCTATAGGTAGGAAACTACATTCCACATTGGAAACTGCAGAAACTTTCTGAGCTTTCTCAATGGATCTATACAGTATGAAACCCCCATCGCTAAGAATACACCAAAGAAAGTAGACTGACAAGTATAAAATCTCATATACTGTATTACCAAGTCCCCATTAATCTTTGTTCTCACTCTTGAACTTTTCCTTAGCAATGTTTGAGAAAACCTAGACATAAAAGGAATATATTGCAGAGGCTACCACCATAAGGTCACAGCATATGCCAATGAGCTACATTTTTACATATCCTGCCCAAACACCTCTTTATGAGCCCTAGCCCAGGACCTTTCATACTGATGGTTCTTTAGCAAACAAAAATCTGAAGCACTAAATGCTTCACTGCCAGAGTCTGCTATAGCAACTATCCATCCAAATTTCCCATTTCACTGGGCATCCCAATCCATACAATATCTGGTCACTCAAATTCTCACTGATCAATATTTAAACAAAATTGTCTCCCTATTTCATACTCTTTATGAGAAGATCTTGACAAAGGGTAACATTGGGCATTATTCATCAATATCAATATTCATATATATCAATAGTGTTATAATGCCCTGTCTCCAGTCTTTGTTACAAATGTTACCTGTCCAAATTTTGCATTCTTTTTTCCATTCAAATAAGGCTGATTTAATTAGTTTGGCAAGGGAAAGCAGTATGTATTGGAAGAGATTGGAAGTGCAAAGGGGAGGAGGGAGGCTAGCAGATCCTGCCCTTTAATATACTGCCGTACACATGGCAAGGGTAATCTACTAGTGCAGACACAGAACACATAAAACTGTGGGTTTCCCTAGGACACGATTGCTACCCGTTTGCAATGAAAATCCTTCAGATCACCCACTAATGGGACCTATTTTGCAGGAAACAGAAAAGATATATCACATTATACAATTTACAAAGTTATCCATCGCCAATGATATCTATCATAGCCCGCCATGAATTTCATCTGGGATGAACGAATAAAATCTTTCAATCCTGGCTGGACCAGTTAATTTCATGAGCCTCAGGATTCCTGGTCTTCTGTACCTGGAAAAATATCTCTATCTTTTATTCTGACCGTAATATCCCTGTGATTGGTATCTTTTTGGCATTTTCTTGCATTCTTTACATAAACCTCACAGATTGCACAGACCCTTAACAACATTTGAAGAAATAAGTTAAGATCAAGGTGTAGTTCAGCGTACCTCTCTCATATTAATTACTTGTGAGCACATACTCTCAAGTAAACCCAACATATCTTTATAAATGGGAAATGGACTTACAAATTACATTTGCCAATTAGACAAAATGATATTCTTTGCCCATAAAGCCTCCATTTGTAGTAAATATCAGTAGATTACCTACAAGATTATGACTAGAGATGAGCGAATCGAACATGGCGAAGTGGAATTCGTTTCGAAGATCAGGAAAAATTCGATTCGCGCCGAATCCGAAAATTAGCAAACTTCGGATGCACGAATCGAATTTTCCCAAAAATGGCGGCAACATGTGTGGCGACGGAGCGGAGATCTCTGGGAAGGCACGCAGACAAGGCGCGCTGACCCATAATGCATTCATTCATGACATGTGATCGCATTAGCCAATCAGCAGCCAGCCAGCCAGCACTGTGTAATGGTGGAGCTATAAATTGCGGCCATCTTACAATTCTCCATTAGCCTCCGGTCATTCAAGAGAGACAGACCTCTGTGTATTAGGGACAGAGTTAGGGCCACAGAGACTTTAGGGCCACAGAATCGTTACTTAGGGACACAGAATCGTTACTTAGGGACACTGAATCGTTACTCAGGGACACAGAATTGTTACTCAGGGACACAGAATTGTTACTCAGGGACACAGAATCGTTACTCAGGGACAGACACAGAATTGTTACTCAGGGACACAGAATTGTTACTGAGGGACACAGAATCGTTACTCAGGGACACAGAATTGTTACTCAGGGACACAGAATTGTTATTCAGGGACACAGAATCGTTACTCAGGGACACAGAATTGTTACTCAGGGACACAGAATTGTTACTCAGGGACAGACACAGAATTGTTACTCAGGGACACAGAATTGTTACTCAGGGACACAGAATTGTTACTGAGGGACACAGAATCGTTACTTAGGGACACAGAATCGTTACTCAGGGACACAGAATTGTTACTCAGGGACAGACACAGAATTGTTACTCAGGGACACAGAATTGTTACTCAGGGACACAGAATCGTTACTGAGGGACACAGAATCGTTACTCAGGGACACAGAATCGTTACTCAGGGACACAGAATCGTTACTCAGGGACACAGAATTGTTACTCAGGGACACAGAATCGTTACTGAGGGACACAGAATCGTTACTCAGGGACACAGAATCGTTACTCAGGGACACAGAATTGTTACTCAGGGACACAGAATCGTTACTGAGGGACACAGAATTGTTACTGAGGGACACAGAATCGTTACTCAGGGACACAGAATCGTTACTCAGGGACACAGAATTGTTACTCAGGGACACAGAATCGTTACTGAGGGACACAGAATTGTTACTCAGGGACACAGAATTGTTACTCAGGGACAGACACAGAATTGTTACTCAGGGACACAGAATTGTTACTCAGGGACACAGAATTGTTACTGAGGGACACAGAATCGTTACTCAGGGACACAGAATTGTTACTCAGGGACACAGAATTGTTACTCAGGGACACAGAATTGTTACTCAGGGACAGACACAGAATTGTTACTCAGGGACACAGAATTGTTACTCAGGGACACAGAATTGTTACTGAGGGACACAGAATCGTTACTCAGGGACACAGAATTGTTACTCAGGGACACAGAATTGGTACTGAGGGACACAGAATTGTTACTGAGGGACACAGAATTGTTACTCAGGGACACAGAATTGTTACTGAGGGACACAGAATCGTTACTCAGGGACACAGAATCGTTACTCAGGGACACAGAATTGTTAATCAGGGACACAGAATTGTTACTCAGGGACACAGAATCGTTACTGAGATACACAGAATCGTTACTGAGGGACACAGAATCGTTACTGAGGGACACAGAATTGTTACTCAGGGACACAGAATTGTTACTCAGGGACACAGGATCGTTACTGAGGGACACAGAATCGTTACTGAGGGACACAGAATTGTTACTCAGGGACACAGAATTGTTATTCAGGGACACAGAATCGTTACTCAGGGACACAGAATTGTTACTCAGGGACACAGAATCATTACTCAGGGACACAGAATCGTTACTGAGGGACACAGAATCGTTACTCAGGGACACAGAATCGTTACTCAGGGACACAGAATCGTTACTGAGGGACACAGAATCGTTACTCAGGGACACAGAATCGTTACTGAGGGACACAGAATCGTTACTCAGGGACACAGAATCGTTACTCAGGGACACAGAATCGTTACTCAGGGACACAGAATTGTTACTCAGGGACACAGAATCATTACTCAGGGACACAGAATCGTTGAATTAAAGAGTATGTCAGACAACATGCAGAGGAGTGGCAGAGGAGGCAATGTTTCAGGAGCGAGCAGACGTGGCAGCAGAGGAAGGGGTCGAGGCAGCACTAGTCGCAGCCAGAGGCCAGTGCTCCCGGTGTCATCCAGCAGTCGTGTCTCCACCGACAACCCTGCCGTCATCGATTGGTTGGCTCGGTCGTCTTCCTCTTCCCAGGTCACCTCTGACACCTACAGCCAACGGTCGGTGGGTACGTCAGACACAACCGTTAGTTGGCATGGCCCGGGAGCAAGCCCACTGAAATCAGTGTCCTCTACCTGCCCCTGTCCTTTGGTGTTCCCTCACCAAGCGAAGTATCGCATGCTGTGGGCTCAGCCCCACTGTACAGTGAGGAAGAGCTAACAGAGGGCGGTCAGGAACGGGGGGAGACATCCGCCTCTTCAGCAGCCAGGCGAAGAAGTACTGGCGAGGAGAGTGGCTCGGTAGCCGGTCTAGAGACAGGTCTGTCTCCTGACCCACACGCAGCCGAGGGGGCTAGTAGTGACACGGAGACCCTAATTGATGATGATGAGGTTGATCGCACTTGGCAGCCTCGTCGTCATCAGGCTATTGCTTCCGCATCATCAGGAGAAGAGGGTGCCAGCTTGCCAGCGAGCAAAACAGTCGGTGGGTTGCCCAGGAGGCAGCAGGGTCGCAGCAGTGTCAGTGGAGGCAAACGGCCACGGAGTAGAGCACCAGCTCCACTGCAGCCTACCACCACGGCCAGTAGTGGTGCCGGTGTGCACGGAGGAAGTAGCAGTCAGCCAGTGAGGAGTAGCGGGGGCAAAGTTTCCTACTCGGCGGTGTGGCAATTTTTCGTCAAGCCGCCTGAGGAAGTAAACGTAGCCGTATGTCGACTATGTGGCCAGAAAGTCAAGCGTGGCCAGGGGGCCCATGTTGGGACTACAGCGTTGCGTCAGCATATGCAGCGTTGCCATTCGGTGGCCTGGGAAAACCGTGATAAAGATACGGCGGTTCTGCCTGCCCCAGCCCCCGCTCCATCACCCGCTCCGTTACTTGCTCCGTCACCCGACGTCAATCGCCCTCTATCAGCCAGTCAAGGCTCCAACACCTCTGCTGAGGGGAGTTGTCGCTCGTTGGCATCTTCCGCTCGTTCAGATGCTCCTTCTCCTGCTACTCCTCTTCACGGATTCCGTCAGCAGTCTTTCTTGGAATCCGTTTCCAAGAGACAACAGTTTGCGAGCACGCACCCGACGGTGCAGAAGCTGAACGTCCTCCTGTCCAAGTTGATGGTGCTGCAGTCCCTCCCTTTCCAAGTGGTGGACTCAGCACCTTTCCGAGAAATGATGGCTTGTGCCGCTCCGCGGTGGAGAGTGCCAAGCCGGCATTTCTTCGCCAAAAAGGCAGTGCCAGCCCTGCATTCACATGTAGAAGAGAGTGTGTCATGGGTCCCTGTACGGCCTCCCATTGCTGCTGTCTCCATCGCCACACTCTGCCATGTGCCACTTTCAGGTCTCCTCACACTGCTGGTGGGTTCCATTTTGTCATAGGGTGCTGTATGGCCTCCCATTGCTGCTGCCAGGCCCGTAATCTGCCATGGGCCCCCGTACCGACTCCTCATGCTGCTGCCAGGCCCGTAATCTGTCATGGGCCCCTGTACCGCCTCCTCATGCTGCTGCCAGGTCCAGAGTGTGTCATGGGTCCCTGTACGGCCTCCCATTGCTGCTGTCTCCATCGCCACACTCTGCCATGTGCCACTTTCAGGTCTCCTCACACTGCTGGTGGGTTCCATTTTTTCATAGGGTGCTGTATGGCCTCCCATTGCTGCTGCCTCCACCGCCACACTGTGGCTCCACACTCTGGTTTTGGCCCCGTGACTACCCAAATGAGTGAAGTGTGCGGTGATTCTAAGATCGACGGCGCCTCATCTGCATGTCATACTGACTGACAGTATTATTTCTCTTCCCCAGCAGACTCCAAGGGCATTTAAATTAAAGGTACAGTGTTCTGCACTAATATAAAGGCTCTCTGAAGCCTAGAAACACCCTTTTTATAAGTTAAATTCGCAGCGAATATATTCGATTTGAATCGAATTTATTCCGCGAATTCGCCGAATCAGCCGAATCGAATTTTTGAATAATTCGCTCATCTCTAATTATGACCCGATGGTACGGGACTCCGTTTGTCATTGCCAAACTCTTTCCACAGCAAATTGATTTATGCTGGCAATGTAAAGCCCACAAGGGTAGCTTCCTAGATTTCTTTTGGGACTGCCCAATATTGAGGCCCTTTTGGCAACAAGTTATCCAAATAATAAAACAACTTACAGAGATCTACATTACTAGTAACTAAATCTTCTAAATTTGACACTAATATCCAGGAAACTTTACAGGAAGTCCCTGCTGATTCATCTTTTAAATCAGTGGTTCTCAACCTGTGGAACCTCAGGACCCATTTTTGTCCTTGGCCATTAAGTTACGACCCCAAAATAATTTAATTTCTGAAACATAATTTATTCTACAAAACAATTTGTGCAGTATTCTACAATGTACATAATGTTACATAATAAAACACTTTTTTTAGAATTTTAAAATAAACAATTATTTTAAGCACACATACAATAACAAAAATCCACCAATACCCCCTAACTTTAAGCAATGTCCCCTCTACCTCACACTAATAGCCCATTAAGCTGATCAATGCCTCCTCTACCTCTCACTCTCTCAAAGGCACACTAAGTTAAGAGTAGTAATATCTTGAATGGCTTTTAAAGTAAACAATATAGTTTGTGCAATATTTGTGTGAGGGTTCTCAGTCCCCCCTCCCCGTTACATGCACTCCTTAAATTCCCCCTTCCATACCCTGCTTTATTCTATCCTTTCATGCCCCCTCCTTTCTCTTTTTATGCTCTTTCCTTATCCCCCTTTCATACCCTTCAATACCCCCCTTGACCCCCTTTTCATGCCCTCCCCTTTCATGCACACTTTCAGTCCCCCTCCCCATCACCACAAATTTCCTGTTTTCTTTCAATCCTTTCAAAATGCACTGTCCATCACCCTTCCACAACTCAGGAAAAGTACCTGGTACTTTTCTTCCCTCCTGCATGGCTGGCTGGAAGGAAATGTAGTTAAATGTCACTTCCTCCCAGCACTGCCGCAGAGGAAGGAGGAATGAGCACGAAGGTCGTGGGACCCGCTGTGTAAGTGTACCATGTGCACCACCTTAATGAGACTGGCTGGCCACAATATTACAAATATTAAGGCTAGCCGTAATTGCGGTCCCGGCCATCTTAACCTTTGTGTTAATGCAGCTGGCGGTTTTTATTAGGCTATGTTGTCTGTCAGGGCACCGGGCATTTTACTGGGGAAATTAGACAGGCTTGGGGGGCCCCGTGGCCCAGTCCGTCCCTGGTCATGACCTACTTTTGGATTGCAACCCATTACTTGAGAAACATGGTTATAAATGCAGCCAGGGCGTATATGTCAGGAATGGACTTGCCAGTAATGGTGGGACTCACCTGCCTTGTGGGCTGCAGTACCAGGGCTGGCCAGCGGGTGCTCTCAGCAATCAGAGACTCAACCCTGCAGCCAGCCAAACACCTGAAGCTGATTACGGAGGTGTATTTAAGGGATGGTCAGACCTGCAGTCTGTGCCTTGGTGTGTGTTTTTCCATGGGCCCCTGTATCTTGTAACCTGCGTTCCTGTTCCTGTTTGTTTCTGTTTCTGCCTCTGCATGACTTGTTGCTGACCCTGCCTGATCCTGACCTCTGCTGACTTCTCCTGTTTTGATCCCTGGCTTGTGACCTTGACCATTCTCTCTGCCTGCTCCTCCTGTACCTACCTGCCCGATAGTTATCGACCCGGCCTGCCTGATTACGTTGTGCTCTATATGTGTATGTACCTGTGTATCTGTATCAGTTTAGGTTTGGGTTTGTTTCACCTTGTTGTATGTATTTGTGTTAGCTTGGGGTTTGGTGCACTGCGTTTATGTTTGTATTGTTAGTCTTTAATAAATTGTCTTATTTATACCATATCTGAAGCTTGCGTTTCCCTGTGTCAGTCCACAAACTTCTGGTCACACCTGCATCCCTGACAGTATATTCACAGTAATTGGAAAAAAATAAACAAACCTCCCCTTTATTCATTTATTATTACTTTTCTTTCTCTTTCTCTTTCACCCTTCTTCCAATATTGTCCCTTATCTAATGACACTTTTTTATGACCCTAGCTTCCACACCCTTTTCTTTCTTCTTCCTTCTTTCCTCAGCAGTATTTGATCATTCAGTTCCCATTGCAGGGCCGGTGGGGGACAGATGCAGTATCAGATCGATGTTGCATCCACCTAGGTGAGTATAAATATTTATTTTCTCTAAATCCCATACTTATCTTTTGACTTCCATAGCAAGGAGCAGGGGCAGACTGACCATTTGGAAACTCGGGCACTGCCCGAGGGCCTGGGGTCAGTAGGGGGCCCCATGAGATGCCCCTGGTACCTTTTTCATAGGCTTTTTTGAGTTTGGGCAAGGACACAGGGGCCCCATGATCCCCTATTGCCCGGGGGCCCCATGAGTTGTCAGTCCGCCCCTGGCAAGGAGTCTTTGTTCCTGAAAAAGAGAGACATCCATCTATCCTGGACAGTTTACTTGGTGCCCCATCTGAAGGGAGCACTAACAACTTAGATAAGCAACAACCCTGGAAAGTAAGGTCAAACCAGACAATGGCGCTTTTAGTAAACATTTTTTACCTTGCCGTCTACTTTCCCCTCTGTACTCCTGAGACCTGTTCACTCATTTGAGTCAGTAAGCTCTTTATCTGAATTTACAATTCTTGCTCTGTATTATTTCTTGTGAGACTGATAAACAATGTGGCTAAAAAAACTCCACTGGGAATATAAGAAATAATGCATTTTTGTAGTTAAGGTGTGTGCTTTTATTTATTGATTGCTGCAGCTTCTAGATTGATCTGACAACCTAGAAACACATATTTTAGTATAGAATACTATTACAATGTCTGGGAGGTCGGCTGTTCAATAGAAAGACTGTATTCCATCAGCAGCATTCTCACCTGTCTGAAGTTTGCTTAGTTATGCAAGGACATCTTCACAAAGAGAACTGCAGAGTGTAAAAGTGGCTTATAGGGATCTGGCCATGAAACCTGTTGACCCTTGATTCTGGCAAGATGCCCTCACCTTATATCAATTGTGCACTGCCACCACTTGTTGTAAATGTCCTAGGTTCTTTGTAATTACTAATGGGGGATTTTTATTTCTTAGCTATACAGTCAGTTATCTGAAAATATCAGATTGTCTAATAGAAGCTATTTATGTTAGTCTGATCTGTGGATCAGTGATTGGAGTAATACAGTTGTGTCCAAAATTATTCAACCCCCAATGCTGTAAAAAGGGGTTTAGGGACTATAGTGTACATTTGGAATTGTATTCAGAATCAAATCCTACAAGGACGTTGTAACTACCCAAATGCAACTAAAATGACATCAATTGTTTATGTAATACAGTAGTAAATGGTTCTTATGTGGTTTCTTCATTGCCACAATTATTCAACCCTTTAAAGACTACCACTCTGAAGAACAGAGGTTCATACAGGTGCTTTCCATCAGGTATAAAACACACCTGTGGATGTCACCGAGCAGCAATCAAGCATAATAAGCACCAATTAGGCAGCTTTAAAATGACTGTGATACTCAGCTCCTTCTAGACATTTTACTGGTGTGGTTACAAACATGGTGAAGGCAAGAGAATGGTCCAGGAAGACAAGAGAAGAGGTGATTTCTCTTCACAGGAAGGGCAATGGCTATAAGAAGATTGCAAAGATGTTAAACATACCAAGAGACACCTTAGGAAGCATCATTCGCAAATTCAAGGCAAAGGGCACTGTTGAAACGCTACCTGGTCGTGGCAGAAAGAAGATGCTGACTTCAACTGCTGTGCGCTACCTGAAGCGTAGAGTGGAGAGAAGTCCCCGTGTGGACTGCTGAGGAACTGAGAAAAGATTTGTCAGATGTGGGTACAGAAGTTTCAGCCCAGACAATAAGACGCACACTGCGTAATGAAGGCCTCCGTGCCAGAACTCCCGCAGGCGTACCCCCTTGCTGTCTCCAAAGAATAAGAAGAGTCGACTGCAGTATGCCAAAAGCCATGTGGACAAACCACAAAAGTTGTGGGATAGTGTTCTGTGGACTGATGAAACAAAATTAGAACTGTTTGGGCCCATGGATCAACGCTATGTTTGGAGGAGGAAGAACAAGGCCTATGATGAAAAGAACACACTTGCCTACTGTGAAGCATGGTGGAGGGTCAATCATGCTTTGGGGCTGTTTTGCTTCTGCAGGTACAGGGAAGCTTCAGCGTGTGCAAGGTACCATGAATTCTCTTCAGTACCAGGAGATATTGGATGGAAAGTGTGATGCAGTCCGTCACACACCTGAGGCTTGGGAGACGTTGGACCTTTCAACAGGACAATGATCCCAAGCATACCTCCAAGTCCACTAGAGCATGGTTGCAGAGGAAAGGCTGGAACATTTTGGAGTGTGGCCATCGCAGTACCAGACTTAAATCGATTGAGAACCTCCTGGTGGGACTTAAAGAAAGCAGTTGCAGTGCGCACGCCAAGCCTATGAACTGGAGGCCTTTGCCCATTTCGGATGGAGCGAAGATACCCTTAGATCGCTGCAAGACACTTGTGTCAAGCTATGCTTCACGTTTAAAAGCTGTTTAATTACTGTAAAAGGATGCTGTACTAAGTTTGAATGTCATTGGGGGGTTGAATAAAACTGATAATGCTGTGCGCAGAGCATGTGGCACAGAAAAGAGTTTGTGGTTATTTCATTATAACTGTTATGTATATTGAAATACTGACTGGCTACAAGTGCCTCTTTAATGTAAAATGTTAAGCAAGATGACTGGACCATGATGTCCTAGGTTCTTTGCAATGTCAAAACTGGGGATTATTTCTTAGTAAACACTCAATTTCAGTGTCTAATAAGGGTTGAAATAATTTTGGAC